GAAGCAACACTTCCTTCACAAGTGAAATCAAGGGTCTTAAAAAAAATAATCTCACACTGCATACGAATTTTGTTTAAATACCAAAGAACAACGGAAAGAAATGCATCAAGTGACCATTGCTTAATCATATATTACACCATTCACTTACACTTAAATAAATATTATAATAAAAATCAATGAAATAATATATTCATTCAACATAAAACACTACTAACCACGAAATACTCGTTATTGCAAACCCATTCTGTAACAGAATTTGATTTGTTTCGATCCGTTTTACTGATTACTACTACTCTTATTCACTATGCTCTATATTCAACATTAAGGATTTTATGTCTTCAGTAACCTCAATTGTTGGTTATTATCGCTCCACTCCACATTTTATTTTTGGCCTACATAATGCCCTGGGAATTTGTTTCTATCTTTAAAGATTCACTATGACACCAGACTGCTCTTTGGGTACTTTTGCGCCTTTGAGTTTTAAATTACTGTCTAACAACATTTATGGGTTAGATTTTGCATTGATTTATCCCTAATCTGTTTGTCAAAATAATTTTTCAAACAAGGTCACATTCAAAACTCTACGCATCCGGCTACCTAAACGACATCCAATTTGCTACCCACTTCCATTCTTTGATCCTGGCCAGCCACCGGCACTGCTTGATTTAGGCTTGACACCAACATCGCTTGATTCAGACCCGTCAGCGCAGTACGGCTCTGAATACTCATATTCAAGTAGACATTGACTTTTCTTTTCCCCATAAAACATGTGCCTGTAGAGAGAAATAATAATACATATTGAAGAACGGGACAAAAAAAATAACAAATACTGATAATAAGGCTTAAAAGGTGTAATCTTTGGCATCATTTAAATACTTTTTTTACTGTTACTGTTGGAAATTCATTTTCACTTTTGCTTATACGGTTTGGTTTCGTAATTCTATAACACTTCTCTTAGGAAACATAGGCAAAACGTCACCCATTAAACTAAAGCTAAGATCATAGGTCCAACCCAGTCATCACACATCCAGTACGAAATGGTCATGTTTAACACGTGAATCTGCCCATGGGTCAGTATTCCAGTTTGAGTCCCAATGCATCGACAAATAATTGCATAACAATATTGGTATAATTACATTACCAAATATCCCCAACAAAATATAAATTTATATAGTTCTGACCCAACATATTGTGTTATGACATAGTCTTTGAGTACTTGCCATATTTTTCATGTGGTTTTTATGTCATCTGAGAAACACTTTTCAAATTTAACACTAATTTCATCAAGTTTGTGTAATAGAAGGAAAATTTCAGCATTTGCGTTAACCCCCTGGGTGGCTGCATCATAGGAACAGAAAATTACATCAAACAATATGAGTTCCCTAGATTGTATTTCTTAGAACAAAAAAAATTCCACTACATGACTCTGACCGTCAGGTCCTGTAACAATACCTCACTAGGACTGGTTTAAATTTCAAAACTGTTTACAAGATTAATCTTTAGCATCAGTTTTTTTTATGGGATACATCAGGATTTTTTGTTCCTTCTAATTTCAAATATTAAAAACCAAACTAAAAATATTCATTACTGCCTGTTAAACAACTTTTACAGGTCTTTAAAACCATACATTAACAACTTCATCCTTGCTTAGTACTGCATTTGTTTTGGACTGGAAGCAGATACCCAACCCAAAGCGCAACACAGGAACCAAAACTCAAACACAACCCTACAACTTAACTTCAAATAACCAGACCCATAACTAGATTCAAGTCCAAAAGCCCCTAAAGTAGAATTAAAATCAAAGCCAATACTTAACCTCAAACCAAGACTATTTTTCTATCTTAGGTTGTGGGGTAATACCTAGGTTCTAATAGGTGTCTTCCTTCAACAATATTTTAGTATTAATTTTAGCGACCCAACAACTGACATAGAAAACCCCAATACCACAATCCAAAAACAAACCCAAACTCTAAACCCAAAACTCCACACCCAAAGAACTTCTTGCTTGCCTACATATGAATTATGATTTTATACGTACCTAGATTACAAAAGTTTTATCAATAAAATGTACAACCAAGTTACTGGTAAACCAAGTTTTTCCCTACCACCGGGTAACTTCTGTTTGCTGTGGTTTGGTCTACCACTGCTCGTTCCTTTCATACCTAGGTTCAATTCTTGTTGCCCTACTCAAGTTATTTAATGTTTATTTCCTTAAATTATAATGTGGTCTAATGAAGGTACACAATATGGCAACCAAGCAGTCGTAACACAGACTTAACCTTTAAGTACTTGGGACCTACATGAATACAGAGGATTGGGAATCGAAACCTAGGCTGCATGTCACCCCGACCGTCACTTCAATGCCATCGTTCTAGCTTCCTAGCCATATCCCATCTTTCAAAAGCACTTATGAATCTTCCTTTAAGGCACGCTTTTGTAACTCATGCTTTTGGCTTAATGCAAAGTTCCTATATTTGAAAATCAATTACCCCCTTTGAATGTACTTCTATGCGCCTACTGCATACAACTTCGATTCCACCTTGTCACTTATCCCTTTTTAAATTTTTAACGTTCTTCTTCCTCACTTGCTTTCATTGTTTGTTTTGTTCGCCATGACTAAACTTTTTGTTAAAGGCGTATGCCCCATTCAATTGTATGTATATTATGCATTTCTACTTTTTATTCAGACAAAACTTAATAAATTACATTACACCCTTAAATGCTGTGCAACTTTTAATTCATTCCTATGCATAGAATTTCCCTACTTCATGTTTCCTTTCTTACCATTAATCTTATTCATTTTTTAAAAGGTCTAGCAAATGACAACAACGTATTTCTAACCCAATAATTTACATACTATTGCCATTGTTTAAAAAACACTGCAAACAATCTTTATTAGTACGTACACAATATTATTGCACAATATTCAATCAATTACTCAGAAATAACATAACCCTTCTCGGAAAAAAAGATCGGGCACTAAAACTCGCGCAACGCGCGCGCAAATGCTAGTGTGTGTGTATATATATATATATATATATATATATATATATATATATATATATATATATATATATATATATATATATATATATATATATATATATATATATATATATATATATATATATATATATATATATATATACACACACACACATATATATATATATACGGTTCAGGTGAGAATGCACCTCGGTGAAAGAAATAAGAATAAAATCTAGCCTTTGGATCTGATGCATCGTGCGGCTCAGATTGTATCCTGCACTCGGATTTTGAGA